ATTATAGCCCGGTGTGGCCACACAGCACAGTCTGCACATGCCCAGCTTGCTGAACCACGCAGCTGGCTAGCGGGGCTTGCTGCTGCTTAGCAAGGTGTGTGTGTGTGTGTGTGTGAGATTAAGCATAATTAAAATCCAAAGCTATTACCCATTAAACTTGACAGAAATTTCCTACCTTGTACTGCTGAGCAGCCTCCTCTATAGAAACTACCTTGTGAGTTCTGTGAGCGTGGGATCTGTTGCAAGCCAAACAGATGGGGATTTGGTCCTTTTCACAGAACAGTTTCAGCACCTCCTGGTGCTTCTCACATCTATTCTTTCCTCCTGATGCCTTTCCTGCCTGCAAACTGGCTGTTTCTATATCATTTACCAGCTGACTCTTGAGCTGGAGAGGTCCCTGCTGCACAGGGTCTTTGCACTGTGGGCAGGAGGTGGCTGGGCTGGGTCTCCCCCAGCACCAGCTGAGGCAGGCAGGGCAGAAATTGTGCCCACATGCCAGAATGATAGGGGCTGTGAAATATTCCAGGCAGACGGGACATTTCGCTTCTTCCCGGAGACTCTCCACAGGGTTTGCTGCTGCCATGGCTTCCTCTGGGCTGGCTAACAAGATAAGTTTCGAATTCCTACGCTCACTCTGTGCCTCACTTACAGCAATCAGGGTGTTTCCCTTCTTGTTGATGACTGACACAGACTGTTTGCTGGATGGAAAAGAGCCAACTCGTGACATCACAGCCCTGGTGCATGTGATTAGAAATGAGGCTTGTGCAGAATCCATTGTATGTGTAATGTCCAATGTTGATAAAATTAATATTTGAAGATTTCATATGTATTTAGTTACACACTCCCAGTTGCACAGTTTTTATTTTCAATTTTCACAGTTGTGGAAAATTATAGGGGGAGAGCCAGGCAATATTTGGCTCAGACAGTAATTATTCAATAACAGTAAACACTGAGTCAAAAAGTTAAAACTTTATTATTAAAACACAAATTGTCAATTTGACTCTCAAAACAAACTAATTCAAAATCCTTAAACTCTAAGGTTTCAAGCAACCTTGTTCTTTCTGAGCATGTTACACTTTCAGTTCTTAGGAGTGGAAATATCTTTTCATCAGTTTCTGAGTGTACAGTGAAATTGAAGTTCTCTGGTGTCTGCTGATAAAAGTCTGCTCCCTCCAAGTCCAGTAAGATTCCAATCACAGACCAAAACCTTATTTCACTGGAATCGATGTTTCAAGGGCCTGATTCTGATGTGTACTAAGGCTGCTCTGGCTCTTTCTAAAGGTGCCTCCATCTCAAAAAGTTGCCAATATTAATGACTTTAAGAGTTTCATGAATGTAGGACAAGTATCAGAGGGGTAGCCGTGTTACTCTGAATCTACATAAACAATGAGAAGTCTTCACAACATGACATTCTTGTACCTATATAGATGGTAACAAAAGGCAATGAGGTTCAACTTTCCTGTCATCTTTTCACTGGTGACCAAAAGTCCAGAAGCCTTAAAAAAAGAACAGAAGGTCTAGAGCCCAAAACGAGTGACTGAATCAACTGACAGTCTGGTGTAGTGTTGATCTATAGAAGTACTTTGTGCAAAGTCTTTTATGAAATATTGTGATTGTGGTTTGCTGGAATCCCACTATTGTTGGGCTCACCGAGTTGATTCTCTGAACATCTGGACACATGGAAACTGGGGAACTTAGCCAGAAGGGAAAGGAAACAGCACCACTCATTCACCTCCTCCATATCCCGAGATCCTTTAGTGTTTTCCCAGTCATCATCAGTCCTCCTCCCCCATCCCCGGCCTGGGGGCCATGGTCTTGGCCCAATAATGGCCCTCTAATTACCCTGCTAGCTCTCCCACCCCTTGTTTATATTTACCCATGAATGGCCTTTGTGGCCCTATAAGGAGCTGTTTTTGAGCATCTGTCTGTCAGTGAACAACCATGGTTCACTGACAGACAGACAGATGCTCAATGTCTTATGGTTTCAGGGCTTTTCATATGCGTCTTCCACCAGCAGCTTACCAGACAGACTCAATGTCAGCTACAGCCAGCTGGCCACAGCCATGTTCAAAATTTACTCTTTATGTGCCACAGGACTTCTCCTTGTTTATGAACATAAGCAGGGCTCGACAAATTATGGAAAACCATACTCGCCAGACAAAAAAGGGACTCGCACCCCCCCAAAAAGTTTTTTTAATTGCATAAATTCCTAATAAGAATAACAGTAATTACTAATAAGTTATTAATAAATATCACTCAATTTATTAATAAATATCTTATAAACCTCTCCCTTTTCCCTCTGCTGCCATGTCTCTTCCCCTTGCTCCATCAGTTCCCCTGGTGCCTGCTGCCTCCCAACCCCTTCACACATGACTTGCTCCATCCCCACCTTTCTCATGCCCACCCCTTCTTTCAAGCCTTCTCCCAGCATCTCCCTCCATAGCCCCCAATGCCCTTACCCTCTCCTCTCTCAGCATCACCCTGTCCCCCCTCCCACTGACACCTCCCCTCCTGCCCTTTTCCTCATTGTCTGCACTTGGCCCCCTGGCATTTGTCTCTCCTGCACCCCTGTCCCTTGGTGCCTTCCCCTTTCTTCTTCTCCTGACCTCCTCCCCTCTCTTCAGCACAAGCCCCTTCCCCACTGGAGTGGAGTGTGGGGGATGAGAGCCAGAGGGCACTGGGGGGTACAGAGATGTGCGCAGCAGGACGGAGTTGAAGGGGGATGGGGGCGAGGGGATGGAGTGATGCCAGGGGATCAGGCTGTTGTGGGGAGGGATCATGGGGCTGAGTGGGAGCAAGGCTGGAGCAGAGGGAATATGAGAGGCGGGATGCAAGTTCCCTTTGCAGAAGCTGCACTTTCCTTTGTTCCTTGCTGCTTTTCCTCCCCTCCCCCATCACAGTGCAATCCTCTTTGCACCAGTCATTCTGTGTGAATGAGAATGGCAGCTAGTTTGCAGGTGCTGCAGGGAAGTTGGCGGGTCTGTACATTGCTCAATAATCTGCAGCCCCCTTGGCATTAGCACTGGGCCATTTGCTCCCCTCCAGGACCCCAGCAGAGTTACTGCTGTTAATGTCCTTGTGAATTTCTGCTGGCAGCTCAGTCCAGGGCTGCTGAAATGTTGAAAGGGCTTTCAGTTCATCACCTAAATCACTCGCCTCAATATTGCGCATGTCATCATGTGTCAACACTGTCTCTGGTGCCCTGCATTGCTGGTGTAGGTCATCTTCAGGTATAGTGAGGCGTTTTGGAATATCATACAACATCCCAAATATACTGCTGTGTTCTTTGAGCTGCAAGAAACGTTCTTCAACTGACTGTATTTCACAATCTAGCTCTTGATTAAAGAATTCACCTTTGAATTGTTGTTTGGGGTGTCTCATGGGATTATCCCATGCCTCATAATCAAAATGTCATCTTCTTCAGTGACTCTTGTATTCTTGAATGGGTGGGAAAATAGCTTCAGTGTGAAGTTCCTCTCCAACTTCTGAGCACTCTTCAAAACATTTTGAATCCCTCATCTGACCGGTAAGACTGTAGGTAAGACTTTGCTTTGTCCAGTTGTTCCATTGCTCCAGATATATCAAGGTCAACACCTTGGAGTCTCTTGCTTACAACATTTATTTCAAACAGTGTGTCTTGCCACAACACTAAATCACACAGAAATTTGAAGTTATGTATATTTCCGGTGATTCCATTTCCCTCTGTCTCTGTTCTCCCACGAACAGTTCCTGTCTAGCATTATCCTCCATAATGGCAACTATGGCATCATCTGTCTTCCCAATTTGGTGTTTGATAGGCTTTATCGCCTCCACTTGACGTTCCCATTATGTGGCACTCAGTGGTTTGTGTCAGAGAGGATGTTCCCAGATATTGCTTCAAAATTTGCCATCGGTGGGTTGATGCAGAGAAATATACATCTAGGTTCTGTTGTTACAAAACGCACCATTAAAGTCATTTGTTCTATATGGCTGATGTCAGGTGTGCAGTCCAGAATAACAGAGAAATATCTTTCTGACTTCAGATCTGCCACAATCTTCTGTTTGACTTTTGTTGCCAGTAACTGTCTGATTTCATTTTGAATTGTTTTTCCAAGGTAGTGGTGTGTGTACTTTTCTTGGGTGGTGACTCTTAGATGCTCCTGGAGTACAGCATCAAACTCAGCCATCAGTGCCACAGTTTTAAGGACGTTTCCATGTTTGGCACATATAGCTGATCTGAAGTGCCACGCAGTGCTAGGTTTTGGGAAGCAAGCATTCTCACAATGGCAATGAGCCTTTTCAGAACATTTTGCCAGTAAAGAGACTCTGATGCAATCTTCTCTTGATGATGATCCTCTGTGGTGGCCTTTAACCTTGGTCTCATCTCAAGCTCTTTCCACCTCTGGAATGCTCTCTGGTGATTTGCGGCCTTCTCATGGCATGCCAGATTTCTAGCCAGATTTTTCCAGTCCTTTGTTCCTGTAGAATTCAGTGTGGCTGAAACATTAGACTGGAAGAGTCTGCAATAAAAACTGTGCAGCATTCTGGGTTTTTGAGTACATAAGCCTTTCCACTTTGTCACCATTGGGGATTTCACATCACTAATTCGTTGGATGGAAACTTCTTTTTTCATTGTCTTTGGGGAATATGACGTTTTTCACTTGCTGTGGCCTATGCAGTACAAGTCCCTCAGGTTACTGCTCAAGTGAGTCCACAGTCCTGGATCATCTAGACTTAAGGAACTAAACTCAGCAGCAGCTGTTTCTTGCACCTCTCCCATACTCTCCTCTGATCTACATTTCTCTTCAGGAATGTGCATGGTTACATCCATTTGAGATGGAGATGTGGATGCTGCCAGGTCAGGCATCTCCTTACCACTTACATCCTCGCTGGGGCCGGAAGGCTCACCATGAACATTTGTGTCTATGTATCTCCTTCCTGCTTAGATAGAAAAGCTTCCTTTGGTTGCTTGCTTTTTCTGAATGCTTTTCTTTCACTCATGTCTGCTGTTCTGTGCCAGCTAGAGTGGCTCTCAACACTCAATTGAAGGGGACAGATAAGCAGGCTGGTAGTAGGGCCTGAGTGAGGGAAGATATCAGTGTCTTAAGGGCCTAACTGGCTCCTACTACTTCAGTTGACTGCCTGTTCTCCTCAAGTGGGTTCAGGGAAGCAGCAGGAAACAGGAAGCTCCCTGAGAAGCTGGTGTTAATCAGTCCAGGCTCCTGGGGGTGCTAGAGAGGTACATAAGAGGCTCCTCCTCTTCTCTCTCCCTGCAGCTCCTGCTGCTTTCTATTATTCCCTCTCATCTTTTCTCCTGCCTGCCTGTTATGTCTCTTGTGCCCTCCTTCCTCCAGCACAGCACTGCACCATCTCTGTGCATCTGGAGCAGAGAGAATACATCTGCACCAGCAGCGGCCCCAGGCGGGGCCCCCCCCCCCAAACTCTGGCAGCTGCCTCAGTTCACCTCATGGTAAGGCCAGCTCCGGCTCAGTCCCCCATTCAGTATTTCCCACAGAGCTCTGAGCTGTGTCTGTCTGGGGCTCGTTGCTTTTCCATGGATTAGTCTCCTCCAGCCCCTGTTCTGCCCTTCAGTTACTGATAGCACCTCATTGGGATTGCTAGGAAACATGCTGCCTGCCCAGCCCTGCAGCCTGCAGGTGAAGGGTGAGCCCTGGGCAAAGGGCTGGACCCAGCAGTCGAATCACACCAGGGAGCCTAGCGGGAGGAGAAATTGGGAGGATAGCATGCTCTGCACGCTCCTGCCCAGACCCCCACTCCCAGCCAGCTCCTCCACCCAACCTCCTGCCCCACTCCCCAGCAGCCCCCTTCTGCAAACTGAAACCCTCATTTTTGTCCTTGTCCCTGTCCCAACATCCTGGGCTCCCTCACAAACTAACTCCGGGCCCCCAAAAGAGTTGATCTGGCTCTGGGGATGAGCCCTCAGCCTTGGGGTCTCCCCACCCACTTGTGTGGCTGCAGCTTCTGGGGAGTGTCCTTTCCTTCCTGATGCTCAGTTGGTCAGTGAGGTTTATTACTTTTTTCTTTTTGCTTCTCACTTGCGTGGCTCTCTCAATGGATTTTTCTGTCGGTCAATGGTCCCTGGCCCAAAATGTTCCACTCCGCTGCTCTAAGTGGTCCTGTTGACTTCACTTAAGCTCTGTTGTGGAGAGGATTCATAAAAGTCTCTCTCCATTTAGTCCTGATGAGGGATCCTAGGTCTGTGCTACAGATAAATGGAGGAAGACCATGGCCTTTAGCTACAGGAGCCTAAATTTAGACACCTACATCCATATTCAGGAAAGAGAATACGGTCCTTGTTTATCAGAAACACTGGGTATTCAGAACCGAATCCCATTGGTTGCAGGTGCAGTAATGTTGAAACTCAAGCCAGGTATTGAGAGAAATGAATGTGGATTTGGGATCTAACTTGTGTGTGTTCTGGATGGAATATTGAGATTTAAGTATTTGCCCCAAATGGAAGACTCTAGCATGTGTGTCAACTGGGACAGAGTCTGGAGGGAATGGGGGTGTGGAAAGGATTAAAGTCCCTTCTGAAACGTCTCCAATTGCCCTTCTCCCCGACAGGCTGCAGAACACCCATGTCTTGCTCCAGCGCAGCCCATGGCCTGCAGAGCCAGGGGAAGGAAATGACTGTGGCAGAGCTGGTGAGCTTCGAGGAGGTGGCTGTGTATTTCTCTAAGGAGGAATGGGCTCTGCTGGACCCGGGTCAGAGAGCCCTCTACTGGGATGTGATGCAGGAGAATTATGAGGCTGTGAACTGGCTGGGTAAGGATTCCTGTCCCCGCGGGTATCAGAAGCTGGGCTGGCTCTGGAGCAGCTGGGTTGGGTTTGGGTTCAGGGTCCCTCATTGCTCCTGGTCTCCAATGTCAGGAGTATCAGCCACAATTATCTTGGCTCCTGTGTGAGAGACTGTCCCCTCCACCCCCCCTCCCAAGGGAAGTAGGTTCAGGGACATAACAATGGTGCTGCTCTTCCTACAGCCAAGGTCTGCATGTGCTTTGAACCATAGAGCTGGAAGAGACCTCAGAAGGTCATGAAGTCCAACCCCCTGCCCAAGGCAGGACTAATCCCAACCAAATCAACCCAACCAGGGCTTTGTCAAGCCGAGACTTAAAAACCTCTAGGGATGGAGATTTCACCAGTTCCCTAGGTAACCCATTCCAGTGCTTCACCACCCTCCTAGTGAAATAGTTTTTCCTAATGTCCAACCTAGACCTCTCCCACTGTAACTTGAGCTGGGAACTGGCTGGGTAAGGATTCCTGTCCCCGCGGGTATCAGAAGCTGGGCTGGCTCTGGAGTAGCTGGGTTGGGTTTGGGTTCAGGGTCCCTCATTGCTCCTGGTCTCCAATGTCAGGAGTATCAGCCACAATTATCTTGGCTCCTGTGTGAGAGACTGTCCCCTCCACCCCCCCTCCCAAGGGAAGTAGGTTCAGGGACATAACAATGGTGCTTCACCACTCTCCTAGTGAAATAGTTTTTCCTAATATACAACCTGGACCTCTCCCACCACAACTTGAGACCATTGCTCCTTGTTCTGCCATCTGTCACTACTGAGAACAGCCTCTCTCCATCCTCTTTGGAACCTCCCTTCAGAAAATTGAAGGCTGCTAACAAATCCCCCTCACTCTTCTCTTACGCAGATTAAACAAACCCAAATCCTTCAGTCTCTCCTCATAGGTCGTGCTCCAGCCCCCTAATCATTTTGGTCGCCCTCCACTGGACCCTCTCCAATGCGTCCACATCCTTTCTATAGTGTGTGTGTGGGGGGGCAGAACTGGACGCAATATTTCAGGGCTGTGTCTACGTTGCACACTTCTTGCGCAAGAATCGCCGTTCTTGCGCAAAAACTTGCCGGCTGTCTACACTGCAAAAGCTCTGTCGCTCTGTATCAGGCAGAAGCCTTCTTGCGCAAATGTTCTTGTGCAAGAGGCCAGAATAGACCACAGCCAAGAGTTTTTGCGCAAGAATTGGCCTACCAGGAAAAAAGCCAAGTGGCCGCTTGGATACTCTGTACCTGCACTTACAGATCCTTACTTCCTGGTTGCCGGACCCCCCTTAAAGACACATGCAGCCTCAGTCTGCGTGGCAGCTGCAGCACGGCTCTGCCCTGCTGCTCCTCCGAGAGATGTCTGCTCCAGGGGGACACCAAGAGCCTGTGCCCTCCTCCCAACAGCCACCTCACGGCGCCCAGCAGGCCCGGAGGGGCCCCTTGCTGGTCCCAGGCAGAGGTCGAGGCCCTTCTCAACCTGTGGGCCGAGGAGGAAGCCCTCCACAACCTCCGTGCTCGTCGCTGGAATGCAGACATTTTTAGCCGCATGGCCCAGGTGCTTTCCCAGAAGAGACATCCAGCCCAGACCCTTGAACAGGTCTGGGCTAAGGTGAAGGAGCTGCGCCTTGGCTATGTCCAGGCCACCGAGGGCCAGGGGGCAGGAGCTGACACCTGCCCCCACTATGACCACTTCCACGCCATCCTGGGGGAGATTGCTGTGGAAAGACCCTCGGTTTCTGTGGACACCAGCCTGCAGTGTTCCCTTCCCCCAGGCAGGGAGTGCAGCACTGCCCCAGGACTTACCTGCATCACAACAGCATCGATGGTGGACCTGCCTACCCCAACCTGGTGTCCCACCGAGCTGTAGCTGTCCGGGGTGGCCAGCTTCCAGAGGGTGATGGTGACCCTCTTGTTGACCGGGATGGTGGGCCGCAGCTGCGTGGTATGTCTCTGGAGCGCAAGGGCAAGCCAGGCACACAGTTCCAGGAACATCTGCTTTTGCATTCTGAAGTTCTGAAGCCACTGCTGGTCGTCCCACTGCTCCAGGACCAGCCAGTCCCACCAATTGGTACTGGTGTCCAAC